GCTTATCGATTCAAACACAAGTATGATCTAGGACAGCGTACCCAGTTCGTAACCGATCCTAAGTACACTTGGATCCACACCATTTCTAGAGGAGAGTGTATATATCCTTCTGATGACTTAATCAGAGTTACCGAATTAATGAACGTTATTTTTGAAGAATATCATGGTCTTTCTGGATTGAGAAAAGAAGCATTCATTTTCGCTACAGTTACTAATATGACAATAAAAAAAATGGATCATTTTCTCCAAAAGAAGATACTAAGAGAAGTGGTAGCATGTCTCGTCAAAACGAGAACATATATTCGTCTTAAAGAATATAATAAAAACTATACAAGTTGGAATAAAAAAAGTAAACAACAAAATACTGTTACGTCCGGCGGACTCCACGATTCTTTTCTTTCATCGTAAATAGAGATTAGCGGTATCTTAAGAGCGCATTACGCCTTGAAATAAACAAATGGAAACTGGAAGGCAAAATAAACTTTTCGGAAACAAAAATTGAGAGGATATATGATACAAACAGGAAACTAGAGCATATCTGATCTAAGAAATAAGCAAATTAATCAACCACTAAAAGCTTGGGTGACAAATTCTCTTACTAATCTAAATTATGGTTGACAGCTCTCGTAATAAACAATTTCGGTACCAAGAATCTAAATGAAAACCGAAACGGACATTAAAAATGATATCATATATGCTCGCCGACAGATCTCTGTTACACGATATCACCTAAGATAAAACGTAGGTAGATAATAAAAGGCATAACTCTCACTCAAATTGCAACAACTCTCCATTGGGCGAAAGCTAATTCTATAAACAAAAGCCTTTACCAATACCTAAGGCTCTAACACCTCCTATGCTAAAGGGCAACGCCTCCCAGCAATATCGGAGGGCGTGAATAAAAAATTCAATTCGCGAAAAATATATAAACTCCTCTCGCCCTTAGGAGCCTTCCATTATCTGATATTTTTTTTGTTACCAACGCACTCGATAAGTAGTAAGTGTTTTGAATGTTCTCAACTCTATTTCCTTTTTTTTTACATTTGTAAATTTTAAATAATTCTTGGATTATTAATTATAATAAATTAATTAATAACTTCAATCATTTACGTTTCAATCTTAACTAACTTCCCTATTCGGGCTTCTCCTCTTTAGTTCTTTTAAACCCTTCTCTGAAATATTATCTTGGATCTCCTCTTTCTTTATATTACCTGTCATTCAAATAAAGAAAACCTCCAAGAATTATTTCTCATCAAATAGGAATCTTCTCGCGATTTTCCTACATTATTATTACATTAATTATAATTACATTATTATTCATTATTACTCTTTCCTTAGTGGAAAGACAAAAACGATCTTCGCGAGCGGCTGCCAGATGTTCGCGGAATCGTCGCAATAGGCGGCTTAAGAAGGAATTGGCTCGAGCGTCCGCGAATTAATAATTTTTCTATCCTCATCATTCTACTCACACTTTTATTTCATGTAATTTTTCTAAAACCTGTTATTGTAAATTTCCAACCGGAATTTAAATTTTAGTTTCCCCGAATCGCACAAGGTCCCGTCCCGGGTAATAAGGATTCAGTTCCTTTACCAGAAAAGGGACCACCGAGCGAACGGCCTTTCGATAGAGTAAGAGCGACCCTTCCGGTCGTTGACCTATCTGGAGCCCTGGTCTGTTCGTTCGACTCTAGGACACGCATCGTCTAGCGTGTGTCTAAGAGAAAACTAAGTTACGCCCTCCAGCTGACTTTCCTTTCATTCGAGTCTGGACGTAACAATACTTAAACTGACAAATAAAAAATAATTCACATACACGTACATTTTATTGCTTAATTTATTTATGAACCCACTTTAATTTTTTGTTAATTCACCTAGGTTTTAGTAAATTAATTAATAATGTAAGTAGTGTATCTCTTGATTTTTTGTTTTTTTAAATTACGTCACCTCTGAAAATGCATTTGATTTTTATTGTATTATTTCTTTTGAATATTATTGGCCAAAGCCTAGTAATAAGTAACATATTCTTTTATCTTTAATCTTTAATCTCATTCCTATAGAACATTCCTATATGAATTTCAGAAATTTTTCTGACTTTGATTGCAAAAAACAACGTTATTAAATAAAATATAAAAGCAATAGAAATAAAAAGAATCATTATAAAATTACAAATAATATTTATTACATATGAAACTGAGTTTCATTGGCGTAGTATGCGTATTGAAATAAAATAACATTTATTTTATTTGAATTACCGCTGAAAAATGGATGAGTAAAAGGCCAAGTTCTGAATGACTGTAATGCAAAATATGCGCAAGAGCACGCCATGTCTACTTGCATCATGATCACGTGTCTCTTTACTGAGCTAATGCTGCACACAATATCGATAGATCGATCGATTGAATCATTCCATATCAATGTGAAGTTCGCCCGTCACGTTCGTTTAGAAGAGATTCTCGATGTGTACAATCTTCACAACTTCTTCATTATTGATTTTATATTAAATATGAAGATCTTATTAATATAATAGTTAATATAACAAATTCCTTTTGAGAACTGAAAATTCTAACAACATACTTAATTTTGATTGCAATAACACTTTTCCAACAAGCCATATATCATATTATAATATGACAATACATAATATGACAAATACATAAAATAAGCATTTCTTGCAACTTTAACTGCAAATTTTTCAAAATGGCGACGCATAGAACAATTTCAAAACTGAAATTATATTCAGCGTCAAAATAATTATAAGAAATGATTATTCTTGTATTAATGTTTAAAAAAAAGTTATTATTTGTTAAATTGTGTTAGAATTTGGTAGAATTATCATGATAGTTTTTTTATCTAAAAGTTCTATAATTGATTTAAAACTGATTTTTTTAAATACGAAAACATCGAGTGTATGTGCAGAGAATGCTGTAGCGTTTTAAATTCTCGTTAATCGTTAAATTTTTTGAAGTTAAAAAACAATTGAGAATAAAAGATTTTTTAGAAATTATTTTCGATTATTTTCGATATGAAAATAGTGTCAGACATTATTTTTAAGTAAACTAAATAATTTCTAATTCAATAAAGGACTCCGCACTATTCTTATTGGAAAATATTTTTTTGCGGATTTGGCTAATTTTTGGATATGTTGTAGTTCTCGTCATTCTAAACAAATGTCTCAATGGGCACAACTTGATCCTATGGGCGGTTTCCGCGCTACAAGTTTTGGAAGGTCCAGATTTAACATATAAAGGTATAGGCTTCCGACTCGATATATATGACCCTCGGTCGAATATGCGTGTGTGCGCGTGCATGCGTGTGTGTGTGCGTGTATGTGTGCGTGGGTATGTGTGCGTGGGCATGTATGTGTGTGTACGTGTGTGTGTGTGTGTGTAGAATTGCGTAGGATTTTATAGATTTATATATGCGAAAAAAATATAATATATGTTTTGTTATGCATAATATTTATATATATATATCGGATGTCGCACATAATCTGTGCCAAATACCAACAAATACTTTTAAGAATATGACCATGTCTACCATATGTTCATATCATATTAGATAATATTATATGGTAATTATTCAGAATCACGGCTCCACTTGCAAATTGGCTGCAAATTTTTTTGATAACTTTTTATGCTTAGAGAATAATGTAAATAACAATTTTTAATCGGGGGAGGCTAAAAAAAAAGTTATAGACAAAAAGCGGAAAAAAAGGGGTAATTCTTTCGAATAAGGCCTTTTCTGAATTTTGACAAATATGATCGGATCTTTTGGTGAAACTCTTTGTTGTGACTCCAACAGTGATAATCAGTCGGGGGAGCACGTTCCCCATCACCCCCACCTCCCCAAAAAACCGAAAAACCCCAAAAATTACCAAAGCAAAGCGAGGTCCACCCCACAACCCAAACCAAATTTTAGTTTTAAATCAGAAATAGGTTTGGGTTAAGTTATATCTTCCGGAAGTGGAGCCCCCCCGTAGGGGGGGCGGAACCCACTGCGTCCATGCATACACTTTCCCATCCACACAACAATTGTGGGGTGGACCTCGCTTTGTTTTGTAAACTATATCATGTACTACTTATGAAAAAAACTACTATATGCATATTTACATATTTCTACTTGCATAGCTGCTATACATTACATAATCCTGTCTCTATACATGTTGAATTGTATGCCTTTTACTATCTGTGCGTATCAAATCCAAATACACATTGTCTAGCTTCTTAGTTGCATACCATATACCATATACCAATATATAAACTGTAGTATCAATGAATATATATTTAACTTATACATACACATTATATGTCCACTTTTACAATTGACATATATTAGAAATCCACAAACACTGGACTGTATCACGCCCATCCATTGTCTTTATACGGCTCTTAACAATGATTGGCACCAATACAGTCAAGAGTTGAAGAAGAAAAATTATTATTAATTATTATTATTGTTATTGATTAACACTCATACGCGCGCGCACACACACAGACAGAGAGATACACATACACACAAACACACACATACACATTCACACGCATGCACGCACGCACGCACGCACACATATGCGCACGCGCGCGCGCGCGCGCGCACACACACACACACACACACTCACATTTGACCGAGGGTCACATATATCGAGCCGAAAAGCTTGTACCTTTACATGTTAAATCTGGATCTTTCAGGGCTTGTAGCGCGAAAACGACTCATAGAATCAAGTTGTGCCCATTGAGACATTTGTTCAGAATGATGAGAACTACAACATATCCGAAAATTAGCCAAATCCGCAGAAAGGCATTTTCCCATAAGAATGATGCGGGGTCCTTTACAATTCAAGATGTTTATTTATGCAAATATTTAAAATGTTACAAATTTTAAATTTACAAAAAGCAGTAATCATTTTCGATATTTTATCAGTTCGAGAAAAAAATCGGTTTTAAATTGTTCCTAGAGTTTATATGTAAAAAGAGATTGTTTAAATTTTCGGGTATAATAACCTGTATGGATAATTGATTGCAATTTGCATCTTGATTCTTGTCTTGTATTGCTTATTGGTTTTGGTGAAATCAATTAGGTGTTGATTGAGCTTGTCCTCAATATGCTGCACATCAAGATACTCAAAGGGACCGTCCAGCCAAACTCCACGATCTCTTTGCCATTGATAACCACGATAAATCAAAGCGTAAAATGGCAAAATAATTTCCTTCAATTCCTTAATACGCGGATATATGGATAGCGGAAAATGAAACAATGTTTCCTCGGCGTTTATCCATTCGGCTTTCTGCTCCATACGTTTCAACTGGCGCACTATGTTTCGCATGTCCTCAATGTACTCTTTTATTCGCTCGGCATCATCCATATCGTTCATTATAATTAACCTAGAAATTATTATAATTTGATTTAATAATTATTTAATTATTTAATTATTTAAATTTCCCGGACCGATAACAGCCAGACACATATGATAGTGCGTAAGTTTAAAAAAAAAATTAATTTTTTTTAAAATTTAAATAATTAAAAAATTAATTTTCCGTGAAACTAAATAATTATGCACAGCAAACACATTTTTCTTGGTACGATACCAAATGATTAATAAATCTTACTTCGAAATTCATTTATAATAAATTCTCCGTACCTCTATGAAAAAGCATTAGTTAGTAAAATATTAGGGTGAAGTCGCTGAATCAGGAATCAAACGCGAGTCTTTCGCTTGCCGAATGACTGAATTATTCATATCTACACCTTCATACTTCTCATTTTGCCTACATATTATTTCAACAATTTTTCTTCCCTAGAACCTCTTTTTCCTCAGCCTCCTTCCCTAATTTCACTACTAGCATCTCACCATCTTCCTGCTTCCTCGATTTTACCCTCTTTACACTCTCAATTCTATTTTTTACTCCTAACTTCTCCCGTAACCCTTCAACCTTCCTCTCACCCCCTTCACTTTCAATCACAATATTCCTCCTTTTATCCTTTCTCTCTCTCTCTCTCTCTCTCTCTTTCTCTCTTTTTCTCTCTTTTCCTCTCTCAATTCTCTCAACTTTTTTGCTAACTCCCATATCCGTCCTAACTTCTTTTTCCCTTCCTTTCTCCATTCTCTCTTGTAAAACTTCTGACTTTATTTCTATTTCCTCTATCTTTCCTTTCTCTTTTCCCTCCCACTTTCTTTCCAGATTTTCCAATCGATTTTTAATCTCCCTTCTCGTCTCTTTCCAACGTTCTTCTCTTAAATGCCTCTAACTCCCTCCTTATATCCCCCAAACTTTTCTCCAGTCTTTCTTATCTAGATTTAAATTCCTCCATCATTTTTCTCATCAACTTCTCTAGTCTTAACCCCACTTCCCTTGCTTTCTCTTCTGGCGATCTTATCGTCTTTTTACTCGCTTGAAATGCTCATTCTTTCTCCTCCCTATCTCCATAACACCCTCCATAACCCGCTCTTCTCTTTTCCTCTTTAATATCTCCTCAAGATTCTTTAAACTTCTGTCCCATTCCCTCTTCTTTAAATACTCCTTTTAAATTTCACCCATTTCCTTTTTTATTCTCTTTTGCCGCACTTATTTCTTTTATTCAAAACTTTACGCCGTACCACTTAATTCACCCTCTAATACTTTCTCACTTCATTAGATGCCGTCACCTATCCGCACCTGCCTTTTTCTTATGCTCACGCTACCAATCCTTTATTCCTCGCACCACACTAAACATTCTTCATTCACACACTATTTCTCTCTTCCTCCACCATCACTCGCTCTCCATTACACTCTCTATGTATCTCACACTCCCTCATTCTCTCTCTACTTACTTTTTCTATAAAAGCTCTTTAAATACGTTGCACTAAAATCGCCATGTCATCTCACTCTTGTTGGAAACGAAAGTCCCCTAGCTCTTCTTAAATAATACATAGTAAACCGCTATATTCTATCGTGCGCTCTATGTCTTTACTCATGATCACTTGACTCATAATCGATTGGCTGCGTCGACGTCTCGCTCATTTATGTCCCGTTCTCGACAAAACATTTCTTTTTCTCGCTCATACGTATACCAGCGCGTCAATCGTCTCTCTTTTGAAACGGATAGTTTTACTCCTTATCTTCTCGGTTCCCATAAAATTTCATCCCGACTATCCGTAGATCGTTTAAACGCGTACGCTTTATATACTCTATAGCTTTGTCTTTCAACTTTCTGCGAGCCGCAAATTCGTAACTTCATATTTTACCGTTATAAACCACAACTCTCAATCTACACACTCAAACTACACATCTTCCGAGAATTTCTTAAATAATGTGTCGTTATGTTTCAATTTGTGCTCTCTTTCAACATGACATGTTTAGCATCAATCAGATATATATGCAACTGCTTCTATTTTTCAAACTCTTTTCAAATGCTCCGTGTAATCCAATAATCTGAGCACGTAAGTTTCTTTCTCAGACGTGTTTTTTATCTCTCGCGCGGCGTTCATCTCGCTCGTACCACCACTATCGTACATTCTTCTTTACAGTTGGTACACATCAGCATAAGATTAAACGCGCTCCCGTATTTTATACACATTACAGCGTTTCGTCATCGAAAAATGGCAATCTCGCTATGCTGCGTATCCAAACGTATATCATATCCAAACGTGTAAGAATAATTCGGATATGGCTTAGATTCGCGTCAGCGACTTTAAACGTGTACAAATTCGAATGCGCTTGGATATGGCGCAACTGGACGATGCGCGCCATCACCGGATGCGCCTTACCTTATATTACGTATATCACGTCGTCGCAAAACGCAAAAAAAACTTCCCATCCTTGCTTTCTGCGAGATATATCAATGATTTTAAACACGCCACTTGGATACAACTACTCCACCGAATATGCCTTAGCGTTGCGTACATATATTTTTTTACCGGTTGCGTCTTAATACCACATATGTATCCCCAGATACGAATAACCAATGTAGTAGATCACTCCTTGTCTCATATCTCTGCTCGTTTCATTCCCTCCGCTCACTGATATCACACCTTTCTTCTCACTGTTTCCTTACGCCAACCGGCAACAACTTCCTTCCCGCCCCCTTCCAACTTCTCCTCTCGCACAATGACGTCACGCTTCCCTCTATCTCCACCACGCTCGTGTCCCTTACTTTTTGCCTCCTCCATTCCACTCTTCCTTCGGGGTTGGATTAGAATCGGTCTCTCTATGTTACTGATAAGTCAATTTCCTTTAATTTCTAAGCACGGTTTCCTTCTCCACCATAAATCTATAATCGCTGTTAACGACGAAACCATGGAGATAGACAAAAATCTGCACGTCCGTTATTGTTGCGAGTCGATGTGCAAATGTTCATTCTTCTACGTCCTCCTTCGAAAAAAATCGCTGTCTTTAATTTATTTATTAGACGCAATAGAGATCCCCGTAATGAAAAAAAATAGTAATCAGCAGACCACGCATAAGACAGTTTAACAAAATAATAAGATTATATTTAAAGCTAGTTGTGTGTAAGTTTTAGTATTATTTCAGCACTGTCTGATATAATTATTTAAATTTCAAATAAATTCCAGCCATTTTCACATTTTTGAAAATAAGCATTTGAAGTTTGTGAAACGTCATATGTCATACTTTAATGATGAATATAACTCCGCAAAATAATAGCGAATCCGATGAATGATCGGAGAACTATATATTCTACATTGCATGGTACGAGTTTTAACATGGAAAAACGCCGCTAAAGCACGCGAATCAATATCTTGTATTATTGGTGAAGGTGTTGTATACCACAATACTTGCAAATATTAGTTTCAACAATTAAAAGGCATTAAGATCAAATAAAAACAAGCATCCATGTCAAAAAATTCCTTCTGCATTTAGTGAGACATGAAGGATGTACTGTTTTACGAGCTTCTCCAATTGAGTGAAACCGTTACTGCGCCAAACACCATCGTCATCAGTTGAATCATTTAGCCAATGAAATCGAACAAAAAAGATTATTTACTAGACGAGAAAGATCATTTTGCTGTACAACAACGCTAGGCCGGATGTTGCTCTTCGTATTCAGCAGACCATTTTAAACTTGGATTAGAAAGTTCTTCTTTACGTGTCATATTTACCGGATTTGGTATCTTCAGATTACTACTTATTTTGGTCGAAGCAACATTTTTTAACTGCACAACTGCTTTTGAAATGTGATTGAAATATAGCTATGAATAAAAAATTTTATTGCTTCCATCCAATTTTTTCGAGAAGAAATAGGGAACTTAGCAAAAGAATAGTACAAAGTCATACAAAACAAGGGCAAATATTTTGATGATTGAATGATATTGTACATATGCACCTAAATCGTAAACGTGCGAAAAACAGACTAAAAATTTTGCATACACCTAGGTATACAACAGGAAATAATAGTACAAAGAAAATGAACGCATATTAAAGAAGATAGCGATGCAAGAATTCTTTAAAGGTACTAAGTAGCGCATGAAAGAAATCGAGATGATCTGAAAATTCATTTGCACGCCATAATCCATTTAAAAGCTTGGGTAAATATGCATATTAAGGGACCATCCTGCGATAAGCTTGACCTTGACATATGTTGTCAAGATTATGACCTGAGTAGCATCCAAGAGGTTTTAGCCGTCGCTCGTTGTTTATTAAGAAGTTATTAACAATTAAATTGTACGTTAAAAACAAGTAGTAAATGCGATAATCTGAACTTCTCCGAGCTTGAATTTTATATTAATTGTATATTTAAGTATTTAAGTAAATGCGTGGGCGGAGGAACGCATGCACGCACGCACGCACGCACAAACACAATCTTGCACATATACTGTAAATAAATCTGTTGCTATGAATACATCTCGTCTCCACAAGAAGAGTATTTACTCGGCAGTACCTTACTCCGGCGCAAGTATCAAACGTAGGAAAAGGAAAATGTGTCCAACGAAAGTCGTTTTATAGTATTTATCATACTATAAATATAAAATATAGGTAGAATATGATTTACCTAGGAAACATGTCCTCTACTCGTGCATTTAGAATCGCTATCTCTTCTTGAAGTTTTTCTTCCAAATCAAATTTCATTTGTTCGTACATTGCTGAATTACGCTCAAAGATTGGTCTAATACGTTTTAACCATTGAACAGTTGTGCTGTTCAGTTCAATATGATGCCTGCTCAAAGTAGTCATCTCGATCAGTGAACTCATCATACAAAGGGAGAGGGTTATTTTATCTTGTAATTCTATCATCAGCGTTGATGTCGCTCTTAACATGTACTGACCTATATCAGAAACGCGATTATTATTATTATTAATC